ATCTGCAATGGATTCAGTTGCTTTTTATTCTGTTGCTGAAGATTCAGCTGAGTGCTCTGCTGTGCAAGCTTCACAAAACATGCAGATCGAACCGGACAACCAGCCACCTATTCTTAACATAGCCATTGGCAAAAGAAGATTATTTCGTATAGGAATGACTAAAGACTCCTCATCAAGGTACTCTATCAAATATGTCATCAAGAAATGCTTCAAAGTTGAAGAAGATGAAACAAACACTCTGCTTACACTTTAGAAATCTCAAACGTCAAAAAGGTTTAATCATTTAGACCACCATAATTTCACAACCTTTATTCCTGTACATATATTTAAGTACATGTTTCAAACTTATTTTTACAGCCAAACAGACCATAACTCGAAGGGACCAACTGACAACACCACTCCAATTACAAACGAAAACCATGCAGGAACTGCCCAGCTGAGGTATCACTTTATTAATCCTAATCATCCGATGATGTATTTTGGTGAAGTAGAGAAGCCATTGGTAAACTAGCTGAATGTAATTGACCACCAGCATGAAGAACACAAAATTGGAAACAATTCATCGGCAACGTGCACCTGAAGATATAATGGCCCAATTAACGAGGGGATGAATGGAGATGCAAGATTAATTTGGAACAGAAACAACCTCTGCTGGCGCTACCCATCAATCCCCTCCACAACTGGAACCTCCAAATAGCTGCCCCTAATCCCCCAGCGTGACCAATCATCATCCTACCCACAACATCACTCAGCCTTATGACAGATCAGAGATACGAAACTGAATTTTGCAGGGTTCAGAGTTTCCAACTCCTGACCGTTCTACCAGTGGATTGAGCTACGCAGCACGGCGGCCGGCCAGGGAAACGCTCCTCCCTTCGCCCAATTCCGTAATACCAGATCCAAAGTAACGCCCCTTGCTGCACGACATTGTAGAAATTCGATCCAGAAAACCCCAACAAAACCCCGTTCTGCGACACAAAAGGAGCAATCGGCATCCGCCAGGAATAGATATGCTATAGAGTGGAGGGAAGGGAGGGGAGAGGTTGGTATTCACCAGGAGTCTGGTGTAGAGCGCTCCATCTGCTTCCGCCATGGTCGTGCTCACCTTCGCGTTCGACAGCGCCAAACCGGACACGCCGAACGGCCGAAGCGAAGAGGGAAGAGACGAGACGAGGCGGGTGCAGCCACAAGAGATGAAGGAGCTGGCGCTCCGCTGGGCCACGTGGGCTCAAACGGTTCTCCCCCTTTAGATCGTGTTCATACCTCCACAATGAAAAACGGCCCATCCATTACCGCAGGCCCATAGGAGGCATGACGTCGGCCCGTTTTTGAGTCCAACAAGGGTTAGATAACTTCATCCATCGTCTAGGCGAGTCTAGTATATTCCCCTAAAAAAAGGCGAATCTAGTATATATAAGGAAAAATAAAGAAAGGTTATAGCATCTCCAACACCAACAGTTCTAATAAGTTTCTTATCAAAATCTATGATTATTCTATCTTCTAAAAAAAGGGTTGTTATCCATCTCCAAATGTTCTAAAAAATTCACCTCCAAAAAATAAAAAAGAGCCCAGGACACTTTTTTTCCTCGATTCGCGCCGCCCCTAGCCACCGAACATGGTGTAGCTGGATACAAACTTTTTTCAAGGAGATAATGTAGGTACAAAAGTAAATGACCAAGTTGGCTCATATTTCCAAACAAAAAAAGATTTAAGGCAAGGTGATCCTCTATCCCCGATGTTGTTTAATATTACGGGGGACATGTTAGCGGTTATTATTGCTAGGGCCAAAGAAAATGGGCAAGTAAAAGGGGTTGTTCCACATTTGGTTGAAGATGGCCTCTCGATTATGCAATTTGCGGATGATACATTGTTGTTTTTAGACCATGATATTGAACAAGCAATGAATATGAAACTACTACTTTGCACTTTTGAGCAATTATCAGGTCTAAAAATAAACTTTCATAATAGTAAAATTCTCTGCTTTGGGAAATCAAAAGAATGCGAATTACAATATTCACATTTATTTGGCCGTAAAGTGGGTACATATCCCTTTCGATACCACATTCTGCCAAACCATTACAGAAAACTTAATAACAATGATTGGAAAGGAGTTGAGGAAAGAATTGAAAAGAGGTTGTCTAGTTGGAAAGGAAAATTGTTATCTACGGGGGACAACTAGTGTTGATCAACGACAGGTGTTGATCAATTCTGTTCAATCCAGTTTACCGATGTTTATGCTCTTTTTTTTTGAAATACCTAGAGGGGTACTCATGGAAATTGAGTACTATAGATTGAGGTTTTTCTGGTAGTATATCAACACAAGAAACGATATAGACTAGCAAAGTAGTCTGTTCTTTGCCAACCAAAAGAGCAGGGTGGTTTATGAATCCAAAATCTTGACCTACAAAACAAATGCTTATTAATAAATGGTTGTTTAAACTTTGCAATGAAGAGGGTTTATGGCAAGAGTTGCTAAAGAAAAATATATTTTTAAAGACAAAACTCTAACAAATGTTACATTCTCACTTTTGGACGAACCTGATGGATGTGAAGGACTAATTTTTTAGCCTAGGAAAGTTTAATTTAGATGATGGATCCCTAATTAGGATCTGGGAAGATACTTGGTTGGGCAGACATTCGCTAAAAATGGAATATCCAGATCTTTTTAATATTGTTCGCCAAAAACATGCTACGGTTGCACACACTCTTAGTATAGTTCCTCTTAATGTTTTGTTTAGAAGGGCATTACTAGAAAATAAGCTGCTATAGTGTAATAGCCTTGTAGCAAGAGTTGCCAACATTTATTTATCCGATGAGAGGGATACTTTCTTTTGGCTTTTGAAACCTAATGGTTCATTCACAGTAAATTCTATGTATCAACACTTTGTCAACATGAGGATCATAGTTACTATGGATTTTTGGTGTGTGAAGCTAACTTTAAAAATAAAGATTTTTCTATGGTTCCTAAAATGTGGGGTTACTTTAACCAAACATAACTTTGCAAGAAAAAATTGGCATGGGGATATATCTTGTGCCTTCTGTTCCTAGAATGAAACAATTCAACACTTTTTTTGATTGCCTTTATGCAAAGTTTCTTCTTTAGTGTGTGGTATACATTGTTTTAGGCATAAGACCAGCTTTGGATGTTATTGACATTTTTCATAGATGGTACAAACAAGGACCTGAGACAAACAATTCTTTGTTGTCAATAGGAGGTGCAACCGTTTGTTGGTCAATATGGCTTACAAGAAGTAAAGTTGCTTTTGACAAATATCAACCTAAAACTTTTTTTATAGGTCTTGCTCAGAGGAACGCATTGGTTACGACATTGGGCGCAACTACAACTGTGTGCGATGACAAGAAAGAACATATTCACCAAGTGTGCCAGGAGCTAGAAGCGATGACTATGCATTTCTTTGCTTTCTTTGGATGGCCAAACAATGTTAGAACTGAATTTTAAGTTGAATGTGTTTTATGTTAGTTTAAGCTTATGTAATGAGGTCTGATTCCCTTAGTTCTAAGGGATGAAGCCGGATTCAATTCATCTAAAAAATATGTCGCACCGTGCGTCAGCGTCACAACATCGACCTCACGACCACCACCTTTCGCAGGCTACGACGATCTTCACGATCGAGCGCCCACACAACGGCACTTTGTCTGGAGGCTCGCTTGTGGTCCACCTCCGTGACGGTGAGGTCCTATCTGTGTGGTGCTGCATAGCGGCGACCCCATCCCCATCATCAGAGTCCGCGTAGCCGGAGGCGGTGTTTGATAGGGTTAGCGTGTGCGTGCCATACATGAAGCTCGACACAATCCCACCCCAGCCCAAGTCAGAGCTAGAGGTGATGTAAACCAAGGCGCCATGTACGAGAAGGTATGGATCAACACTAATGAAAAGCTTAGCTCTCCATAGAAGAAACCCATGGTTTTCATAAAGATGAAACTTGAATGGTCTCAAGATGAATATTATTGAAAAGAAAACTCATGGAAACAATCTAGTTCAATTGAAAGACAACAATACAAATGAAATAGATTTCAATATATGTTTATTGTTGGTTCAGATCACTATATGGCCCGTGATGGCTTGAAAGGTATAGCAAGGAAAGGGCTTAAAGGGACTTAGCAAAGGTAAAGGGTAAAGGATGGCGTGTACACCAATGGACCATAGCTAAGGTAAAGAAGAGAGTACTTGCGTTGAGTCTTGCACAAGTCAAGCTATGGAAAGTCATATTGCGAGAAGGATCAAATGATTGATGAATTAGTTGATGAAGTAACTTGAAGCTATGCTTGAACTCTTATGTGGTGAATTAATTTGGTCACATCACATGCTCAATTTGTGAAATGATGAAAGCCCTCAAAGTATGCATGATCAAGTGTTGGCAAGATATTGACAAGGAAGGCTCAGGATGCATGAAGTTTATTGTTGTTATATTTTATTTTTGAGTAAAGCTGCCTCAATAATATCAAGAGGGATGCATCATTTAACTAATGACAAATTAAAGTGCTCAAGCAAACCCTAGTGAGAAACCTAGACAAGTTAATGTCCTCACATTCTTTTTCTCCCAAGATTAGGGGATTCATGTGTTTTTTCCTTTTCGCAGGTTATTTTACTTATTTAACTTATATATATATATATTTAAAATCAATGTCTCTGGCTTGTTTGAGCTATCGCGCCTTCTGCCTAGTGATAAAAGAACCATGGGCCTGTCGTGGTGCTGCAGTAGCCAGCTGGCTGGATGCACCTAATCAGCTACACTATCTCATCACTAGAAACCAAACAGCAGCGGCCGCTTGTGGCTTAAAGCCAGCCAAACGAGTAATAACAGTTTAAAAAGAAACATTTAGCCACAAATAGAGTCACATTATTGAAGGATAACATATCTCTCTGTCCATTAACTTATAGCAATGCACGAGCATTTTGTTAGTTATAAATAAAGAGAATAATATATATTAGTTCCTAATTAAATTCTATACTTTCAAAGATGGAGACGACGAAGATTTCAAAGAGCGAGGAGCTCTCTGAGGATGGATGGACATCTATCTCCCAGATGCTGAAAGCCATCGGTTGCTACGGCTTCCTTCAGATTGCTACCCAACATGAGGAACTTGAAACATGCCTTCTTAAGCCCATTGCAACCATGTTGCTCGGCCAATGCCAATACAGTTCCAACGTTGCTCGTGTCAATGCAGCTGCAAAGCTTGTGCTCTGATAGCAGCTTAAGCCTGTCTAAGCCATATCTATCTGCCGCGACGAGTAGGTGCTGAACCACGGCAATCTTATCATCAACATCTTCTTCTTCATCGTAGTTGTTGTCATCGTCATGTTCTATCTCAGGCAGCGAGTCGGAGTAGACGAAGTGGAGCAGGGCTCTGAACACCCTTGCTTCCATGTCCTCGATCCGCACGCAAGCCATACTCTTTTCCTTCATTGGGCCAAAGAGCTGTGCCATGAAGACCGGGGACCGGGCAGCGAGTATGTAACTGTGCGCAGCGACGGTTTCCCCGGCGACCTCGAAAGTGACGTCTGTCCCGTCTCCGCCAGCGAGGAGACGGCCTAGATGAAGGTGCATGTCCGACGGCGGCACGATGATGAGTGTCTCGGCGGTCGCGTAGTCCTCTCTGCTAGAATAATCTACAGTTTCCTTGCGTGAATACACAGTAAGGGAAATGCGGAGTCGCTGTAGGTGCCGGCGTCGAATGGCTCAACTGTAGCATTGTAGCCCTATGCAGAGGCCAGCGCAAAGTCAGCCCTATATGTTATCTAGTTACTGTTACAGCATGTGCGCTGTACTAGGATTAGATAAATAGAGTTGTATAAATAGACTACCACGACAACTCAGTAAAGAGAGTTCATATTTACCATCTCCCATACAAGGCTTCGGCCAACGCTGGTGTCTTGTACTGTGTGTGTATGCTCTGTTCTCCCTCTTCTTCAACCTCTGACCATAGTGCGTTGGGGACGGACAACGCTTGTTCGTGGTCGGCTTAGCTAGTGGGTGCTCGGCAACACTAGCGGATGCTCGGCAAGACTGGTGAGTGGTTCACTCACCTGAGCCGGTGATCCTGTGGGCTAACAAGTGGTATTAGAACCGTACAAACGCCGTTGCCAGACTAACCGCTGGCGATGACGGGCGGTTCGGAGATGGGCGACAGCAGTGACACTGCTGTAGCTGCCCAGCCACGACCAGAGGTCGTTGTTCACATGGTGTGGGAGGTCAGCGGCACCAGTTGGCCGACGCTGACTCGTACCAACTATGGAGAGTGGTTAGTTCCGACCGCGCAAAGAAGGCGACGACTCAGCTTTTGAAGCAGGAGTACGCCAACCTCAAGTTTAAGGATGGTGAAACGGTGGAGGACTTCTCCCTCCGCCTGCAGACACTCATCAACAAGCTGAAGAGCCATTGCATCACCATCGACGAAGAGGAGGCGGTCTCCAAGTACCTGCACTCTGTGCTGGCAAAGTACATCCAGATCGCTCTCTCCATTGAGACGATGCTGGACTTGTCCACCCTCACCATTGAGGATGTGATAGGCTATCTACGGGCGGTGGACGAGCGCCTAGAGCAGGCGACAGCAACGAAGGACATCGACAAACTGCTGCTGACGGAAAAGGAGTAGGCTGCTCGGAGGAACTCCGAGAAGGCAGCCTCCTTGGCGATGGGAAGGGCCGCGGCAAGGCTTCTTCGGAGAAGAAGAAGCAGGTCGACCCCAACGCCTGTCGACGCTGTGGAAAGATGGACCATTAGGCACAGGAGTGCCCAAATCGCAAGCAGGAGAAGAAGGCTGAGGCTCATCTAGCGCAAGCTAATGATGAGGATGAGGCCACTATCTTGATGGCGACGTTCTGTGCATTACACGACGTCGAGGCCGAGGAGAAGAAAGAGGTGATGATGGTGGAAGGACCTAGGAAGACCCTGAAGACTGTCAACCTCGACGAACCACGCGCCCAAGTCCACCTCGGACGTGTGGGCACTGACCAGAAGCAGCGGTGGTATCTGGACTCTGGTGCCAGCAACCACATGACAGGCTCCAAGACATCCTTCTCTGACCTCGACGACGATGTTACCGGTACGGTGAAGTTTGGTGACGGCTCAAGGGTGACAATCCAAGGGCACGACACCATCATCTTCAGGTGCCAGAATGGGGAGCACCGCATGCTAACGGATGTATATTACATCCCGTAGCTGCGTTCCAGCATCATCAGCATTGGTCTGCTGGATGAGCGTGGTAGCGAGGTACTAATCAAGGGCGGAGTCCTTAGGATCAGGGACCGGGAGCAGCGACTTCTCGCCAAGGTGAAGAGGTCCCTGAATCGGTTGTATCTGCTCGACCTGAAGGTAGAGCAACCAGTGTGCCTAGCGGCAAGGCACTCTGAGGAACCGTGGATGTGGCATGCCCGATTCAGACATCTTAGCTTTAACGCACTTGGTCGGCTAGAGAAGATGGTCCGAGGGCTACCCCACATCAAGCATGGAGGCGAGCTATGTGACAGCTGCCTGACCGGGAAGCAGAGGAGGCTACCATTCCTAAAGGCGGCCAAGTATTGCGTGAAGGACACTCTTGAGCTCGTCCACGGCGACCTCTGCGGGCCGATCATGCCTGCTACAAACGGTGGTCGGCGGTACTGCCTCCTGCTCATGGATGATTGCAGTCGCTACATGTGGCTGCAACTCCTGACGAGCAAAGACGAAGCGGTGGCGGCAATCAAGAAGTTCAAGATGTGTGGGGAGGTCGAGAGCGGCAAGAAGCTCCACATACTGAGGACTGATCACGATGGCGAATTCACTTCGGTGGAGCTCACTGCGTACTGCGTGGATCAGGGTGTGGTGCGACACCACACCGCGCCGTACTCGCCACAACAGAATGGCGTGGTGGAGCGACGGAACTAGATGGTGGTCGGTATGGCCCGATCCATATGAAGGCCAAAGGCATGCCGGCAAGGTTCTGGGGGGAGGCGGTGACCACGGCGGTGTTCATCCTCAATCGCGCTCCGACCAAAGCCCTGATGGGCAAGACATCGTTCGAAGCTTGGTATGGGCGCAAGCCAAGCGTGTCCTTCCTCTGAACATTTGGCTGCATCGGCCATGTTAGGAAGACGAAGCCGAACCTCACCAAGCTGGAGGACATGAGCACACCAATGGTGTTCCTAGGCTACGCGGAGGGTACCAAGGCGTACCAGCTCTATGACCCACGTGAAGATAAGGTGCTTGTCTCGCGCGACGTCGTGTTCGATGAGAAGGCAGCTTGGGACTGGAGCAGTCCGAGCACGAGGGAAGCTGGCGGCTTCACCAGCACCTTCGTCGTCGAGCACCTAGTCATCCATGGTGGTGGAGACACTAGGGAAGAGGTGCCGAGCACTCTAGGAGGGGTGCCGAGCACTCCAGTGGCAGAGCCGAGCACTCCTAGGGCAGTGCCAAGCACTTCAGGAGGGATGCCGAGCACGCTAAGAGTGGCGCCGGGAGGTTCTGCAGTGGTGGCAACCACTCCAGGACGGGTGCCGAGCACTCCCGTGGCGGAGCCAAGAGGTCTTGAAGTGGTACCGACCACTCCAAGACTAAGGCTGAACGCTCCTACAGTGGTGCCGAGCACTGCAGGAGTAGTGATGAGCTATCCAGAAGTAGTGCCGAGCACTGCAACCAGGGTGCCGAGCACTCCAAGTGCTGTGCCGAGCACTCCGGCGGAACAGGGAACTCCATCGATGCCGATTGAGTTCGCCTCACCTCCAAGTGACATCACTGAGTTCATGGATGCCTTCCATGAAGGTGAGGAGGTGCAGTTCCATAGGCTGGACGACATCGTCGGCGGCACAGGACCCTCAGGAATGGCTGGTCAGCTGCTCAATGACGCAGAGCTGTTGCTCGTCAGTGCAGAGGAACCACCCACGTTCGTGCTGGCCGAGCGGGACGGAAACTGGCGACGGGCGATGCTGGAGGAGATGAGGGCGATCGAGGAAAACGAGACATGGCAACTCGTCGATCCACCTCTAGGATGCTGTCCGATCAGCCTAAAGTGGGTGTACAAGGTCAAGCGGGGTGAGCTCGGCGCCATTGTCAAGCACAAGGCGCGCCTCATCGCTCGAGGCTTTGTTCAGTGCGAGGGCATAGACTTCGAGGAGGTCTTTGTGCCAGTAGCACGCATGGAGTCGGTCCGTTTGCTACTAGCGTTGTTAGCAGCAAAGGACTGGCACGTCCATCACTTGGACGTTAAATCGGCCTTCCTCAATGGCGAGCTGGCAGAGACGGTCTTCGTCAGGCAACCTCCAGGTTTCGCCGTCAAGGGAGAGGAGCACAGGGTGTTCCGACTGCGCACAGCGCTCTACGAGCTGTGGTAGGCCCCACGAGCATGGAACGCCAAGCTTGACGCCATGCTGGGCGAGCTTGGGTTTCAGCAGTGTGTTACCGAGCATGCGCTCTACACGCGGCGACGGGGGAAGGAGGAGCTCATTGTCGACATGTATGTGGATGACTTAATCATCATTGGCGCACGCATGGAGGACATCAACGGCTTCAAGCGCGAGTTGGCTGCTCATTTTTGAATGAGCGATCTCGGTGCACTCTCCTACTACCTCGGCATCGAGGTGAGACAGGGGAAGGAGGAACTCACGCTCGGTCAGAGCGCGTATGCCTCCAAGCTGTTGGAGCGGAGCGGCATGGCTGAGTGCAAGCCATGCGTGACTCCGATTGAGGAGCGGCTGAAGCTGACAAAGGCCAGCACCGCGGTGAAGGTGGATGCAACACTCTACCGGAGCATCATCGACGGTCTGCGTTACCTAGTCCACACGAGGCCGGACATTGCGTTTGCCATGGGCTACGTCAGTAGCTTCATGGAGGATCCCAGAGAGGATCACTGGGCTATGGTGAAGCGGCTACTGCGCTACGTCAAGGGGACGGTGGATCAAGGGATCATCTTTCCCAAGATCGGCGGGAGTGGGCTGTAGCTCACTGTGTTCAGCGATACAGACATGGCGGGGGACATTGATGGACGACGATGCACCTCTGACGTGCTCGTCTTCCTCGGGTCGGCCCCAATTTCATGGCTGTCGCTGAAACAGAAAGTGGTGGTGCTATCTATGTGCGAGGCAGAGTATGTAGCGACGGCCACAACGGCGTGCCAAGTTGTGTGGCTGCGCCGGCTGCTAGGTGAGCTGATCGTCATGGAAGCTCACCCACTAGCACTGATGGTGGACAACCAGCCTGCCATCGCCCTCACGAAGAATCCAGTTTTGCACGGCTGGAGCAAACACATAAACGTGAAGTTCCACTTCCTCAGGGACTGTGTCGATGGAGGGCAGATCGTCATTGAGTTCGTCGAAACTGGTCGACAACTCACGGACGTCCTCACCAAGCCGCTCGGACGTCTTCGACTCATGGAGTTGAAGGAGATGATCAGCATGGAGGGGGTACAAGGGATAGCAGTAGGATTAGGGGAAGAATTGTTAGAATAATCTACTGTTTCCTTATGTGAACACACAACAAGAGGAAGGCGGCGTCGAAAAAGCTCCTTGCTGTGATACTGTAGCCGCTGCAGGTGCAGCACTGTAGCCACATGCAGAGGCAGGCGCAGAGTCAGC